GGCCGGGGCGGGGCCCGGGCCGGGGGCGGGGCTTCTGGGAGGGCGAGCGAGGCGACGGGGATTTGCGGGCCGGAGGCGGGGCGGGGCGGGGCGGGGCGGGGGCGTCACCGGGGGGGCGGAGCCTAGCGCCCCGGACTCTAAAGGGAGTAAGCTCCGGCCTCGGGTGTTTTGGGCTGCAGCCGCTGGAGGAGCGGAGCTGGAGGAGGGAGTTTTCTAGACACCCTGCTGAGCTAGAGTTAAAACCTTCTGCTGATGGAGAGAGGACAACTGTTGCAGGAGACAGGGATTTGTGGGGTTGACTACAAATGATGGGAGAAGCAAGCGGGTGTGGGCGGGGCTGACGCTGTGGGATGACAGCAGTCTTCCTCTTGGGAAGAGCAAGGGCTGAGAAGGGAAGGAATGAGCACTCTCTTGGAACGCAGAGGCAGCCTGGCCGAAGTTGCTGTCATTTAGAAATGCAAGATCCAAATAACTAGGTTAACATATGAGAACAACTTCAGCAGCCCAGGTGCTAATAAAGATCAGGGGGAAACAAAAATGGCTATCAGCTTTATTGATTGAAAATAATTTCTCAGGCACATAAATAGGGGAAAATATGGAAGAAACAGGTAGAAGGATCCTCTTACTTAAAAATAATAAGTGGCGTACAGTGCAGATCTACACACAGGCAGAAGGAGGCCGTGTGTCTTAGTTACCACAGCATGCGTGGGCAAGGCCAGGGTTTGGAAATCCTAGAGAAGGCTAGCTTTCGTGTTGTATTTGACAAACGGAACTTCTCACAGATACCTGAGATTATACTTCGGTGTAAGTCAACCCAAGGTCTGACCTCAAATGTCACAAATAATAACTTAGCAGTAATAGTAACTCAAGGAAAAAAAATCAAGCTTCAGAAATAATTCCCTCCTCAGTTGGGAACTTGTAATACATTAAGTCTCCTCCTATCCATATTGTTTTGATGATATTTAATAAGAGGTATTTAAAATGTTTTTAAATGAGTGACTTGCTTAGATTACTTCCTGATGAAAATCTAACAGTAGACCACTGCTAGTAAAATAAATTTCAAATTGTTTTACCTTGCGGTGAAATTTTGGCCATGTAGTAACCCCAGCCCAGTCCAAATGACCAGACTTGCTTTCACTTTGGCACATCAGTAACTATGTTTATTCCATTCTTTCCCTCACAGTGTCCCTTACACAACCATTTCCACTTACCAATTAAGATTTTTCCGAATGTTGAATTTCTCTTATCATCCTGATCTCAGCTCAGATGCTTAAATTCTTCTATAAATACCTCCTGAGTTTCCCTAGCAAAATGTATTACTTCAGTACTACATTCAACCCTTTTGATCATGTATGTTATGCTCAGGACTTTACCTGGCTGACTCCTGTACTCTATTCACAGTTCCTTCAAGTAAGGAGTAGTACTCGTTCCCTTTATATGTGTGGTATCTGTGTTCGATATGAGTTGAACCTTTAACAACTATGCTCACATAGAACCTTATCTCCTCCATTAAGGTTCATTCCAAGGATCTTCCTCTGACTTCCAGAGCTGACAGAACTTGTTGTAGAGTCTGCATTGTCCCTCTATGCAGCCCCTGATAGAAGAAGACACATGGCTTCCTGCCTTAATTTGGGGACAGTAGACTTGGGGAAAGAGGAGCCCAATTGCAGAGAATTCTATATTTTCTGCAGAGAGGAGCCTAGAATTTAGTGTTAGTAAACACAGTGAGTAACTATGCAGATCACTTTTCAGAACAAACTGTATAGGTAGGATTATTTCATCCCATGGATCTAAAGTGTCTCATGATGCAAGGGCAAGGTAAGTTAGGAGAATTAATGCATGAACATCTGCCAGGCAAGTATCTTAACTTCTATCCAATATTGTCTTTCAGGTTTTTAAAATATCAATATGATTGTTTTCACTTTACAAATGAATAAATTCAGGTACAGATACTGTGGTCTTTTGGTTCTTCCTCATGCATCTGTGCTGAAGCTTTGGGAATACAGCTAACCTCCCAGCATTCTCAGATGAGTTTTCAGGCTAATACATTCTAAACAGACATCTATTCACAGTGGTAAAATGTAAGTGCATTAAAATAAAACACGAGTCACAACTGAACAATTCAGATCACTGGCAGAAAGGGTGGTAGGTAAATGGCACTATTAAAAATGAAGAGAGTCTTGTTTCCTGTGAACTAAAAATGGATAGCTCCAATTATTGTTTCTTCCACACATGAAGATGGTACAAAGTTAGTTAATTATAAATAATGCATCCAACCATAGAAGGGATGAGCTATACGCTATGATATTGTACATTAAAAACCTTTATGAGTGTGGCAAGAGACACATATACCAACAGCTGCTAAATTCAGAATCCTAGGGCAGTATCTTATTTTTATGTTAGTGAAAAGCAGTACATGCTATTGCTCTGGGGATTTCCTTCTATATAAAAGGATCTTAAATCTACATGAGATTTTACTCAGTGATTTCAAAACACTTATGAAAATCTGTTTTCTTTATTTGCATATCTTTTAACCTGCCCTGAACCACTCAAATTATAGCAGACACAATGCTTTATAGAATAGATCCCCTGGAGCAGAAACCTATTTTTTTTTTTCTCATTCTGATTCTTCTTTCAATTCCTTCACTTTCTTTCTCTTTCTCCCCCTTCTTTCCTTTAAAAGAAAATTTTTTTGCAGTATCTCCCAAAGCTTGGCACTTTTATTGAGTGCATGTTGAATGTTGAATGTGAATTATCATCCCCTTTTTATGACAGAAGAGGAAAAGTCATAAAAGACTTAAGTAGGTTACCACGTTCTGAGCAGAGTCACAAACTCTTTCTCCCAACTGTGCTGAGAAGCGTGTTACCACACAACCCATAATTGAAGCTATGTCTTGAAGTGACTTAATTCAAGTGAAACTTGAGACTGGAAACTCAGACAATCTTTTAAAAAGAATTTCTGCAGGAATTTTATGTCTTAAGATAGCTAAATTCAAATTCTGAGCCTTGGAGCATAAGGGAAATACTATATCACTTTCCTAAATGATAAAGTGCAAGCAATAAAACAAGCTTAGATACTACATAAAGTCCCTGGTCTAAATCTTTGGGTTCATGATCTATTATTCTGATGGACTTTCAATAAATGGGGCCAAGTTATAAAAGAACTAGTTGCTGTGCCTTTAGCAACTGATCACATACAGATCTCTAATGCATGGGCTTTCACACAGCACAGGCATTTGAACATGGGGATGGCTTTGTTTTCTCATATCAGAGCCCTTCTTTGATAGAGCTTTGACTGCGAGAGCTCAGATGCAGATTTCTTGTACCATTGACCCAGGCCAGATGTATATTAACTGATCCACTAGTAAATCAGAACTATGTGTGCCCTGAGTTGAGAGATACAGCAGCTGTGACAGTTTAGAAACAGACACCAAGTAAACTGCAAATTTTATTGCAACATTGGCCAGCATAATAGGCCACACCAATAATAAAGACAAAACTACAAATTTAAAGCAGTCAGTAGAATCTGGAAATACTCTTCTTTGCAATTGCTTTGAATACAAAACATTTTAAACTGACAAAGACTTTGCCTGCAGAGTTGCTAATGAAGATGTGGCAGAGAGCGTTCCTTGAGTTTGTTTATCCAGCTGTACAAGAGTCAGTGTGACAGTAACTAGATTTATAAAAATTTAAAAATACCAAAGCCTAGTTCTGAGGAACGGAGTTTCCACATAAGTCTACTAAAGCCTGTTTTTCATAAATGAGAAGTTTATCATTACCATATCTGCTTACATACAGTTTTGCTTTTGCGATGA